GCTTCTGGAGGCAGCCGAGGCGGAAGCTGTGGCCTCATGAGCTGGGCTGCAGGCGCAGCTGTGGCTGTGGAGGCGGCACGTGCCCTGGGCTCTCCGGTGAAGCACGTCCTGGCGGGGCGCCCGGGGCTGCAGACCTCTGTGTCCCCACGTGCACGGCGTCTTTGTGCTGTGATGTTGCCCTTCACGTGAAGTTTTCAAGACCCATATCCCGTTGTCTGTGAAATCATAGGTTTTACTTTGTGAAGGACTGTACGGAATAGGCCCAGGGAAGGGGGACTAGTATTTGCCGAATTTGCCAGCATGTGTGCCGGTGAACGTCCCTGGACGGCTAGCCTCTGTGCAGGGACGGCTTCAGCCGGTGGCAGGTACAAGGTCAGCCAGGCTCTGTGGCGTCTTTGGTGAGAAGCAGGAGATCATCGAGGGGACGCCAGAGGTCCAGACAGGTCCAGAATTGTTTCCACTGGTGGTTCAGTGTTTGTTTTTATCATTTGTACGTCGTACTTTGTTTTCAGGCTTGCACTTGTGTTTTTAACTGTCCTATAAAGATGCAAACAGAAGACTGCCTTGATGTATCCCCCTGGCAAAGGCCATGAGCACGCCAGGTCTCTGGGGGGTGAGTGGGACTGGTCAGCGGCGGCCTCTGTGGTGCCTCCAGAGAGCAACGGGCCGATGCTCACGCCTCTGCCCTGCGTGTCTGCTCAGGGTGGGCCTGACCCGAGATGTGGCCGGGAGTTGGTTCGTGGATGTTCATGTTGCTGGCATTTGTAAAGCAAAGGAAGTGACAGCCCCGAGTCGGGCAGCGGAGTGAGGACGGCTGGGATGCTGTGATTGGAGGGTTTCTGAATAAGCTCAAATGCTCGAAATGTGATCTCCTTTTCATAAAAAGGCCTGGCATGGCAGTCCGTGCCTGTAATGCCAGCCCTTTGGGAGGCTGAGGTGGGAGGATCCTTGAACCCAGGAGCTGGAGAACGCAGCCTTGGCGGGGGAGCGAGAAAAGGAAAAAGGAAGTACCACGTTGTGTATCTCATTTTGCTAAGATACATCCCTTTTGTAAAAATGCTTATGGAAATACACCCAGTGGGCTGGGCGCCGTGACTCACACCTGTAATCCCAGCACTTTGGGAGGCCAGGTCAGGAGGATCACTTGAGGTCAGGAGTTCGAGACCATCCTGGCCAACATGGTGAAACCACGTCTCTACTGAAAATACAAAAAATTGCTGGGCATGGTGGTGGGCACCTGTAGTCCCGGCTACTTGGGAGGCTGAGGCAGGAGAATCGCTTGAATTCGGGAGGTGGAGGCTGCAGTGAGCCAAGGTCACTCCACTTCACTCCAGCCTGGGCCACAGAGTCAGATTCCATCTCAAAAAAGCGAGAGAGAGAGAGAAAAGAAAGAAAGGAAGGGAAGAAAGGAAGGAGGGAGGGAGGGAGGAAGGGAGGAGACACCCAGTGAGTCCCTGAGTGTTGGTCACTGTGCAGGCTGAGTGGATGTTGTATGCAAATTTCACTCAAGTTTTTTATTTTTTATTTTTTCCATTGCATTGAGTGTCGCTCTTTAAAAAAATTGACTCGAGTTGAAGATGAGTTAGAAGTTACTGGAATTATTATCAGTTCTGAGCCCAGGGCTTCAGCAAGCGAGTTGCAGCTCCCGGGGGCTGTGGCTGGTCAGAGACCCCCAACGGCAGCACAGCTGCCCACGGCCGCCTCAGGTTTCACCCCCCCATCCCCCCAAGAAGGAAGCCCGGGGGGTGGGGTGGGGCAGACGCAGCACAGGCACCTCCCCCATCCGTTTGGGCCTGTTTTTTCTGAACCAGTGACACAAATTTGCAGAGCTGCCAAATTCATGCTGAAAATTTCTAAGTAAGACCAATCAACTTAATTGTCTGGGTTGTGATACTCATTTTGTAAACCATTCTTGCCTTAAGCCGCGCACACACCATGTTGCTAAATTTGCAGATGATTCCAGAGCCAAGTGCATGGGTCAATGGCGGACTTCACGTATGAGGGTTCTTGTGAGGTCACGAGAGCATGTTTTTTTACTGCGCTTTTTCTGTGTTTAGATGTGTTTAGATTCACAAACCCTGAGCGCTGTGGGGCAGTCAGCGGCGGTGTTCGGTGCAGCCACACGCTGTGCCGACGTGTACCATACCGGGCAGCCTTGGGCCGTGCCTCGTGGCCAGGGTGTGCCGTAGCCACCCCGTTGGTTCCCATGAGTTCCCATGACAACAAAACCGGCTAAGGACGCGCTTCTCAGACCGTGTTCCTGTCATGAAGTGACACCTGGCTGCACTTACGCGGTTACTCTACATGACGGTCAAGCGCAACGTGGGTTGGACGGCTTCATCTTTAGGAAACGCGCCTGCCTTTAGCCAGATGCGGGGGGACTTCTCCTCCTTCCTTCTTCTCTCCTTCCCTCTCTCTCACTCTGTCTCACTCTTAAGTTTCCTGGGAATCCAGTGAGCCCATTTTTTTTTCCACTGTGATTTTTGTTTTTTATTTGTTTCTTTTCGATTTGTAGCAGAAGACAGGTCCGGGGCACCTGAGCCGGGCAGCGCCTGGCACCGTCCATGACTTTTTCTGGCACCTGCCTGTCGGTTAGTGGGCGGGGACCCCTGCAAAGGGGACTTTCATTGCCGGGCCCTGTAGCCACCCCCCTCCCTTTCCCCAAGCGCGCAGTCGGCCAGAGCTGTGTGTGGAGAGGTGTTTCTCCAGAGTCTATTGTCCTTCCCGTGCGGTGCGGGTGTTTGATTCAGCCGCCTGCCTTCTGCCTGGCAGCATTAGCTGATACTGGGCACCCACGCTGAGAACCTCACGTGGGATGCAGCTCGGACGCACCACCCGCGAAACCGCGTCTTGGTGATTCCTCCGTCAGGAAAGCTGCTGTGGCTGCCGGGGTGCACCGGGTGCCCCGGGGCCTGTAACCACAGAGGGAACGTGGGTGGTCAGCCTGCCGGGGGCGTCTTTGGATAAATCCATTTCTAAGGTTTCAAATTACCATGAAGTTTCCAGCGTCATGAAATAGGTAGTCTTGTTAAGGAACATTTTAGATGTTCGTATTTTTTAAAATGATATATTTGATTCCATTCAAGCTGCCTCCTGGGCCTTTTCTCTTTGAAGGAGTCTTTTATCCTACCTGTTTTTATTTTATTTGTTTGTTTTGAGACGGAGCCTTGCCCGTGGCTGAGGCTGACGTGCATGGCGATCTTGGCTCACTGCAACCTCAACCTCCCCCAGCTGAGGTGATCTTCCCTGCTCAGCCTCCTGTGTAGCTGGGACCACAGGTGTGCACCACCATGTTCTGCTAATTTTTTTGGTTTGTTTTGTAGAGATGAGGTCTCGCCATGTTGCCCAGGCTGGTAAACACCTGAACTCAAGGGATCCGTCCCTGTTGGCCTCCCAAAGTGCTGGGATTACGGGCGTGAGCTGCTGCGCCTGGCGTTGCTTCTGTTTTTGAAGAGTCACTTTGGGTTCATGGTGTGTCCTGAGGCGTGGGGACCTTCGGGGGACGGGAGGCAGTTTCCTTGAACTGGCAGATGCCCCCGCTCTGAGCCTGCGTTGCACGGAACCTGCCCTTCCTTCCGAGAAGCCGCCCACGTGTCTCACGTCTCTGTGGCTTGTACTTAAAGCTGGTGTTGACTGACAGTGGGCAGCTCTAGACGGTAGCCGAGTGGAGGGCTGAGTGACTGGCCCGTGGGGCTGGTTCTGAAGACGTGGCAGTTGCAGGCCCTGTGTGGACAATGGCCTCAGCAGCCTGGCCGGCCATGGTGCTGGGGTGAGCCCGTATGGTGACGACGGTCAGAGTGCACCCCGGGCAGGCTCCGCCCACGAGGCGGTGAGGACGCTTGGTGGCCTCGGCAAGGCTCCGCCCACGAGGCGGT